GCAGAAGAGCAGAAAATCGAGCGGTCCCCATCGCTAAGTGCGTGCTTGTTGTGAACACATTTTTTTCAAGCGCCTTCGGGTGTGTTTCAGCCGGCGGGGCCAATGTTTTAAGCATGTGACAAAACAATTTCAAAGGCAACATGAGGCACCGTATCATTGGAAAATTTGCGTGCTAAAAATGCACGCCATCACGAATGATGTATGGAAATCTGACGTTCTTAATTTAATTACCGCATATTTAAATAAGCAAACCCATTTCAATTTCTAACTGAGGGGCTCCATTAAATCCTCCCGCTCGCTCCACAAAAAACGGCGAACCTCCCTGGCACACAACGTAAAAACGTCGCTTTGCGAGCAGCTCATGCTCGACCAGGTCTGTAACAGCTTAACACGCTTCAGGTAGAGACTGGAGAGCATACATTTATTTGTGGCGTGACAGCTAGTCGCTGCTCGTAGATAACAAGGAGGGAGCGAAAAGCAAGTAAAAGGTATTTGACTATTAAATTTAGATTAGATTAGATGAGATTATTAAATTTGATTATTAAAGGTAAGTATTTGATGTCACATATGTTTTGAACTCCGTTGGCTGAAATATGATACACGTAAATGAGTGCAAATGTTAGGGCAGTGATATCCCTGGGTGGTGATGGCATCACCTAGGTGGTGATGTCCTCATTGGTGTCTTATCATTGAGTGCTCTTCATGTTTGTTACGATTCCGCTGGTACCTATCTTGATTGGGTCATTCGTATGGACTACTGGGGTCGCAAGTGAGATAGAATTCGTCATACAAAATACTGGGACTTCCGCAAATCTGGTTGGCGGAACCACCTAAAAGGCATGTGCTACAATGTTGACAGGCAATGAGCTTGTCAGCAAGAGCACATCCCTTTAGGTGGGTCCGCCAACCAAATTTGCCGGGTTTCCAACGTTTTGCACATGTCAGTTAAGTACCGTCATGCTCAAAAACCACCTTTCCGTGCTAAAATTATGAGGGCTTATTGTGGGTTCGAAGTCCTTATGCTTAAAATAGTCGGCATTCAATACACCAAAAGGTGCTAGTTAAACCAATTTTTCAAGCCAGCCTGGCTTACATCGTTAAGAATTACACCGAGAATTGCAGAGACAAACTTGACGTTTCGTAGCTGTGTCCATACTCATGACTGGTCAAGGTTTACTCATACATCCCAAAAATAGCAGCCCCATACCGACCATGCCAGGACCGGTCCGTAATAGAAGGCTCCTCGGCCATGCCAGGACCGGTCCGTAATAGAAGGCTCCTCGGCCATGCCAGGACCGGTCCGTAATAGAAGGCTCCTCGGCCATGCCAGGACCGGTCCGTAATAGAAGGCTCCTCGGCCATGCCAGGACCGGTCCGTAATAGAAGGCTCCTCGGCCATGCCAGGACCGGTCCGTAATAGAAGGCTCCTCGGCCATGCCAGGACCGGTCCGCAATAGAAGGCTCCTCGGGTTACAGCCCCAGTCAACCCGAGGCGGCGCGGCTGCAAAGACGGCCGGCAGCACGGCTCACGCGTGGATCGATGCGAATTTCTGTGCAACATTTCTGTGCAACAAACTTACTGTGCAACGTTTCTGTCCCCACATGTGCGCCCCACGCGTCCACTCCACGTGTATCCTGAATACCGGGAAAGCAGTGCTCCCGCCAACTGTCTTCCAGGAACATGTATGCACGATGTACGCAACTGTGGTTCTGGAGTGGGCACATGTGGACCAGCGTATACTGGGAGATAGTCCAACGCAATAGAGCCAGTGTCTTTTCATCAGCCTTTGGCGCAACATCTCGCACATTCCCGATTACAACAGATATGCAGGAAAATTACTTACCACAAGTAGCAGGCATCACGAACATTGTTTCGAGCGCCCCGAACACTTCAGCCGATGAGTCGTTCGCGGCCTGACGCCAAATATGAGGTAACGAGCTTAGGTGCGCACGGAACACAGTCAGCTCATCCGAGGGCATTCGATGACCGAGTATCAGGAGATAACAACTTAACAGCGGGTACCAGTGTTTATCACAACCCGAAAACAACTCCCACACGAGCTTAACCTATAAAACGTCGCTAAAACTGAGCCCCGAAACGACAATTGCATGCTCAGCCTCAGACGAATATCACGGACGTAGAGCGATTCTAATGGCTTGAGACCAGCTCTGTCCTTTCCCGTTGATAAAATCTACTGTGCATCTCAAGTTGTGATTTGCAATTTGCTTTATATCAATGCCTTTTTACTTGTACTGCGCACGGAGGTACGCCATTCGACGCAACACAGTCACGTCGAACGTGTACGCCAGAGACAGAAACGTATGGACCACGCGGGTAATGAACGTCTGGACCTGCGAATCAACAAATTTCAAAATTGCTGATTTTGACTGCTCACACGCTAAAGGCCACCTTTACTTTATTCTAGACAAGTTGGAATTCACTGACCAGTGAATCATATGATGTTGATATGGCACACACGTATCATGCTCGTTTGGCTCTGATACAACGAAGGGCTGGAAATGGACATCGTGTGGACTTCTATATCGACTGCAACGTGTCGATCGAAATAAAGGTGGATTTTGGTGTGCAGTGAACAATTTTTGACTTTGATGACCCTTGGTTCACGACTTTTATGGCCACATGTACCCACACCTTTTTGCATCTGGTTAATCGACTTACTCGCATTGTATGGTGTCCTGTTTGCAATCGTAAACCGGAAAGATGATCTTTAAGCGTGTCAGGATTTTAAAGCCTCTAAAAGGGAAATAGTTGATCCCCTCCGACCAGCTCCGGTGATTTTCACGCGAAACAGCCCCTGGGCACAGGCACGCAGCCAGAGCCTTGGCAAGGCAGGGGCGCAAGGTTGACAAAGGGGCCCGACTGATTGTGAAAAGTCCCCCCCCCAAAAAAAAAAATCAACGAATATGGCTAATTTCTTAATGAGAACATGCTTTTCATCGATATTTTGCCACTTTCCGTTCCATAACTGAAAAAGCCAGAAGCTGGCGCGAGATAAATTTTTACTGAATTTCACAGTCAATGAGCTGAAAAAATCATGCGTCAAACGATTGCATGACGCAAATTACCGGCACTCTGCATTCTGCAATGGTCTAATTGATTTTTTCCAAGCTGATAGCGCTTAGAACCTTCGTGAGAATTTTTATCTGGGTTTCACAGAGATAGCAGGGATCCCGCGAGTGTAGATTGCAGATCGCATTGGGCTGACAATGTTATGAACTTGGCCAAGCCCTATTTGCCTGGAAATGTTTAGACTGCCTATGACTAGAGACTGTCTATTGATATTTAAAATCACGGCCGTGGGCGGATAACCTTAATGTGACCCGCAGCCAGCCCTTCGGGCCCTTGAACTTTCCAATCGGACCCTTGACCTTTGGTCCCAAGGGCCCTTCGGTCCCTCTTCGGACCTTCTGAAACAAGGCCCGTGACCGACTCGAAGCCACTAGTCGCAACAAGACCCGCTGTTAGGTACTGCGGGCTCCTGACCGATACAGAGGCCCCAACCATTGTTTCAGGGAACCAGACCAATGCACATCGTGACTCTAGCTTTGATCCTGCCAGAGAGATGGGAATCCAGGTTTTGGACTGACAGGGAGCCAACTCTTAAGTGTTCGTGGTCTCTGACCAACCGAGGCACCCGCATTATCTCAGAGGTCCTCAAACGGTGCAAGAGGACCTCTGATTGATAATTCAGGTCACGGCCCTATGGACCGCGATTCTTTATTTGACTCTTTGATCTCCGGGTTCCGCTGGGCCCCCCGAGTCCCTCTTCTGGTCTCATCGAACACTACCCTTGGTCGGTTCGGGACCCCTCGCGAACGCAGGAGCCTCTGCTAGGTACTGTGAGCCCCGAGCAGATACGGGGGCTCCAACCAGTGTAAATTGTTGGCCTCGACTTTTAGCTGATTGGGAAGTGGATCTTAAGGCCCATGCCGATACGGAGCTGACTGTCCGGTACTGGTCGTGCCTGACCGACATATAGGCCCATATCGACTCAGGGGTTCCCCGATTGGCGCAAAGGACCCTCTGACGGAACGGGTCCCCATTTTGGGCCCGTCCCCGCATGCTGGAGCCCCTGAATGACACTTGACCAGCCATTCTTGGCCTTAAGCCCTCTAATCGGGCCCTTGATCGATGGTCCCGGTCGGCCTTTTAGGTTCTTCGGGCCTTCTTGAACACTGCCTCTGGCCGACTCGGGCTCCTTGCCAACACAGGGCCCCTGTCAGGCATTTTAGGGCCCTGAAGGACGCTGGGGCCGGACCATTGTAAATTAATGACCCCTGTTTTTCCCCTGCTTGGTAATGGGTCTGAGGGCCCATCCCAAGCACTGAGAAAGGGACGGGGCCGACTGAGAGTTAGTTATTGGTAGTGTCTGACCGACATATATACCCTTATCGACTCAAATGGCCTTTGATCAGGGTGCAGGGCGCTCCGGATGGCATTGACGTGCCCAGTCATGCGGACCGGGCCGGTGAATGCGAACTCCGGCCGACCCTCCAGGCCCTTCGGGCGGTTAAATCAGGCCTTTAATCATGGGTCCTTAGAGGCCCGAAGTGCCCCACGGAACTAAGGGGGGGGGCATGTGGCCCCGTGCCCCCCCCCCCCCAGCCTGTGCCCCCCCCCCCCCCCGCCTGTCGCGTAGGAATCAAGGTTAGTTGACAATCCGATGTCCTAATCGATCAGCGGCATAATTCTTAGCCGCGTTCGTCCTGGCGCCAGAATGTTTGACAGCACTGTTCGCATTTTTACTACAAAGTGCAGGAACTTCGCTAGAGAATATGGAAGCGAATGTGATATGATAGTAAACTGGTTCCAAAACCACCGCTGTTGAGACATTTCAAACGCATATTCCTGACCATTCCGCCACAGCTTACGCCTGGACCCAAGAGGCTATGCGCCCTAAACCAACAACAACAACATCAGCCACAGCTGCGCGTCTGGGAAACCAGAGGTACGGGATTCGATTCCCCGCGGTGCCCGCCCTTCCTGCCAGGGTGAGAGGCAGGCGACGCCATATAGCCTCAGCAGCTGAGTGTGTCGTAAAGCCCCACTGACAGACAGTCCGCCACAGCTGCGATACACGGCTGTCTTATTTAGAACGTTAATTGAAATAAGGTACGTCAATGCCTTATGCTTCTTAATTAATTCTTTTCAGACGTATTGCGTTGGTTTGTGCGGCGCATCATGCTGATTTTTTTCATGCATCAGTGGCGATATTCGTAAAGACCTATGAATGCGATCATTTTTGTGGCAAGGTCTTTCATCGAACTGTTGTGACTCATCAGATAATGTTGCCCGATAAGGTCCCTACGGATTGTAGCCGATAATGCTTGGATATTTCTCCAGCATTTTTACCAGTCTTCCATGAGCCCATGCAATCATCTTTAGTTACTATGTTGATCTTTGTGAATGTGGCTGTCATTACACTGATAACCAGCTTGCCATGAGAGGCTGACTGGTGGACCAGGCCCCTTTAGGCTGGGTTTGTGTACTTAAGCAGTGTAGCCTTAGCCTGAGGTTTTCTTCTGGTGAGTACTTGATGAGCTCTGGGTCCACCTTAAAAAAGTTCTGGCTATGACATTGTCAGAAAACTACTACTATAATTGATGCAAGTGATGCAAGATTTGGGATTTTGGGACACTTACTATAGTGGTCATTACAGTGTAGGTGCACTTTCCTACCTAACGTTAGAAAAAATAATTGCGCACCATTCGTCATGTTTAAGGCGGCACATATCGTAAATAATCTCAAAACAGGTAGAATCATGCTCCTACCTTCGAATTTCAATAACTTCGATGGCGGGCTCCCGAGCGCCGCGCGCACCGCACCGCCTGGACTCCCCAGCGCCGTGTCTGCATTGCCGTTGCCCAAATACAATATTTCTGCTTACCAAGAACTCTACAAAATGTACGGGACCAAGGTAAACCATTCGTCGTGTTTAAGGCGGAACATATCGTAAATAATCACAAAACAGATAGAATCATGCTCCTACCCTCGAATTTTAATAAATACGATAGCGAGCTCCCGAGCGCCGCACGCACCGCACCGCACCGCATCGACTCCCAAGCGCCGTTTCTGCGTTGTTGCGAAAGCACAATATTTCTGCTTATCAAGAACCATAAAACATGTACGGGACCAAGGTAACAATAATAAAGCAACCAAAATCGTTTCTTATCGAGTTTAGGTACATTTATGAAACACACAGGCCAGAATAGCCCAGAACATATCCCAAACTAGCCTAACCTAACCTAACCTAACCTAACCTAACCTAACCTAACCTAACCTAACCTAACCTAACCTAACCTAACCTAACCTAACCTAACCTAACTGAGAATAGACCAGAACCTAAGCTAAGATAAGCTAAGCTAACCTGACCTAACCTAACCTAACCTAACCTAACCTAACCTAACCTAACCTAACCTAACCTAACCTAACCTAACCTAACCTGAGAATAGACCAGAACCTAAGCTTAGCTAAGCTGAGCTAACCTGACCTAACCTAACCTAACCTAACCTAACCTAACCTAACCTAACCTAACCTAACCTAACCTAACCTAACCTAACCTAACCTAACCTAACCTAATCTCCCCACCCTATATCCCCTTCAACCCAGTGTCCCGTTGGCGTCCATGTTCCATGCCATATATACGTGCCATGTAGTGAGCTTTTATTTAGCTGCCATGTTCTCATTTTGCTATACATTTCCCACCCAATCCCCCTGCAACCCATGTTACCTTGGCCCGGTACATTTTTATGGTTCTTGATGCTGCTTGATGCGCAGTAATGTTGTGACCCGCGCAGTAATGGCGCCGGTGTCGCGGGTGCTGTGTGTGTGCGGCGCTCGGGAGCTCGCCATCGTAATGATAAAAAATTGAAGGTAAGATCATGAATCTACCTGTTTTGTGATTATTTACGATATGTCCTGCCTTAAACACGACGAATGGTTTACCTTGGTCCCGTACATTTTATAGAGTTCTTGGTAAGCAGAAATATTGTATTTACGCAACGGCAACGCAGAAACGGCGCTGGGGAGTCCAGGCGGTGCGGTGCGCGCGGCGCTCGGGAGGCCGACATCGAAGTTATCGAAATTCGAAGGTAGGAGCATGATTCTACCTGTTTTGAGATTATTTACGATATGTCTTGCCTTAAACACGACGAATGGTGTACAGTGATTTTTTCTAACGTTAGGTAGGAAAGTACACCCTGACCGGTCATTACTGATGACAATAAAGAGCTGCCCGCACATATCATTGCCAGTTATATAGGCATCCCCTGTTAATTTATGATCCTTACAATTTCAAGCAAAGGAAAATGACAAGTGTCACAAGTAATGGTGTTCCACTTTAAAAAGTCCCTTTGATCATATACTAGGTGTCTGAGTATATGTGACCTGAATAGGACAATTATAAATCCTTCTATATCCTGGCCCAAAGCAGCATATATCGTGATTTATCTCATGCTGGTTTGCTATATTTATACATGCTCATTCTCTTCTTCTAATTGCAAGTAGGAACTGTGTTGGGTTACTTAAGGTCAAGAGAGGTCATATTTGTTATAGGGTGAATATTTGGGTTATACTGTTGGATGTTTCATGACCTGATTTGATTTATCCTAGTTAATTGTAACCCTTAACTAATACATTTGAGAAGTGCTATCTAACAGAAAGCATTAACTTGTAGCCCTGCCATGTGTGGTTATTTTGATAACAGAATTGCCAGGTACCAGTCAAGGTACAAGATTAGCTGAGAACTTGTGCAGTCTCACTCCCCCCCCCCTCCCCACCTCTCCATGCACACTAAAAGGTAGGAAAGACTGAACATTTGGTCTCCTCTCTTGCCTTCTGTCTACCATTTGACTGGCAAGATGACAAAAGGCAAGAACAGGTTGATCGCATAGACCTTAAAGTGACAGGTCAATTCCTTAGGGTTGAGTTGTAAGGCCAATAAATAGAGTGTAAGGTCATTTCAGGCTGAAAAGCCTGGTATCACCAGTGCAGTGATAAATCATAGACCTCACTGCTAAAACTTGGCTTTGATGCTGTGGTGAGCATGAAGTTTTCTGTATGTACCAGAATGTACCAGTACCTGTATTTCTGTATGTGAAAAATGGGGCATTGAGGAGTGAAGGGTAAGAGTGGTGTTCATCCAGTCAAAGAAACATTTGTTGGCAATATATGAAATGCTATTCTGATTTTGGGGGTTAAGAAGGAAATCAGATGCCTCCAGCTTCCTGCCTCCAACTTCCTTTGGAAGCCCCTTCACCAGTGATATCTTTTTTGTGATATCAGTTAGTTGCAAAGTGGCAGAATAGCACTGCCCTTCAGAGTTCAGATGTGTTGAAAACATGGCATGCATTACACTTCTCACAAAAATCCCCAAAATTGAATATGTTCCAGGTCTAGGGATTTTGATGGCCATTGGCCACCCTATGACACATTGCGTGATAGTAGGAATTGCTTTCGAGCACTGATCTCTTCTTACTTCCAGACTCCCGGTCTCAACTGAAAGCAGTACTGCTAAGGTGTGACAATGTCTTGGATTCGGGAAGGTATGTTCCCTCGGATGTTAAAACGTAGTTTGAGAATATTCTGTTGAGACAGACTTTTGTTATACCCAGAGGCTGGGTGCTGACAGTTGGGGTATCTGTATCTGACAGAAATATATGGGTGTTGTGTGCTTCCTGTTTGTGCCATTATTCTGTAGTGTGCCATAACCAAATATGCCATGTCCATTTGCGCTGATTTGCTGTGAATATTTGTTACACTTAGGCAGTTCTTGTAATTTTTTGTGCTACAACATTTTCATTTCAGCTGTCACTCAGCAGCAAAATTTAGTGCTCATTTCTCTGTTAATTTGTAGCATGGTAAAAATTGCACATTCTCCATGAATAGCTGTCACTTTGTCATTTGCATCTTCTCTGCAGGCAATCACGATAAAGCATGGAACGACCCCCCGGTCTTCTCATACGATGCTGCGTCTGCAGCTCAGGCCACTCACAAGCGCACATCCTTAAACAAGAGAGTGGCTTTTCCCTTGTCAAACCCATCTGGTCAAGTATCGCCGCTAGCCTCCGGCTCTGGACCGCCTTCAATGGTGCCAGGCACAGGACCACCATCGATGGTGCCAGGCGCGGGACCACCACCAATGGTGCCAGGCGCGGGACCACCACCGATGGTGCCAGGTGGGGGACCGCCGCCAATGATGCCAGGCGCGGGACCGCCTCCAATGGTGCCAGGCGCGGGACCAACTCCAATGGTGCCAGGCGCGGGACCGCCGGCGATGGGGCCAGGCGCGGGACCGCCGCCATCGGTGCCATGCGCGGGACCACCAGCGATGGTGCCAGGCGCGGGACCACCGGCCCAACTGTCTGATGAGGCACCGCGCGTGGCGGCGCTGACCACCGACGACCAAACGCCGCGTGTGACGTCAGGGGCGGAGCCGCCCACCCCCGTGTTGACCCCTGCTGAGATCAAGATGAAGCTTCTCTCAATTCTGGACGGGCTACACACAATAGAGGCAAGTAGCTGACTTGGTGCGTCACATTGCTGTACCGGAGACTTCGTCGCGCCCTGACTTGGGCAGAACACCTGAGCGTGTGCCCGGGTAGTCCCGAGGGTAACATCTGGACTCTGGGTCTGTGATCATTGACGATTGATGCGGCACCATGTGGAATTGCATAGTGGTATCAACCCATCCGTGCTCTTAGAGTTTATTTGGGGTCGGTTTGGCAAGTTCATCAGAAGTCAGATAGATGAAGACAGATGCTGTCAAAAAGGGACCATTTTGCCGTGCAACAATGTCAAGAATGTGTGTGGTGATGTCGGGAATTTGTGAAACGCATCTAACGTGTCTGTTGTTGCAGGATAAGCTGAAGGATGACATTAGTCTTCGTGTAGAAGTGTTGTCAAGAATTCTGGGCGCAGATACAGTCTGCGGCCCAATCCAAGAGAGAGTGAGCCAGCTAGTGATAGGTGAGGCTATACGTAATGGATTTGATTGTTCTCATTACTGCTGGTTCGCTCTGCCGTCCAGTTCTCATGACACCACAGCTTGAAAGGTCTAAAAAATTTAACAAGTTACAGTGGACCGGAACAAGTAATCCCTTCAGCGTCTGTATTTCATGCATTATGAGAGCTTATGTGGAGCATAAGCAACCTTTGATATGCCAGGGCGACCGGATGGCTCTTGGCGCAGCAAAGCAAGCGGCAATCACAGCCAATTGTTAAACAGCTCGTAAGTGTTAACTGAGATCCACGTGGTGTTGTTGAGAGATATGCCAACGTGACGTCACAGATGGCGGCGGGGCTGGTTTCAGCGACGTTGCCTGTTTACGTGGTTAAGCAAGCGAATGCCGCTTGCATTGACGCTGTATTCATATTCCTCATAATCCCGCGCATATCCGAATCGTTGGTTTTTTTAACAGATGTTTGGAGGACAAGGGAGCAATATACATGGGAGGTACATTAGGTGCTCTCAAGTGGCATACAGTGATGCCAGGGTTAATGCAGGGGCATGTTGTGCAACAGAAGTGTAGTGGGGGAGGGGTGAGCAGTGCAGCATGGCAAAATCTATCCCGAAGGTACGCCACCAGACTGTTCTGCTGACTGTCCTCCAGTACGCCAGTACGCCACCAGACTGTCCTCCACCGCTGTTCTGTTCTGATGCCTAGCCCGAAAACGGTGAGGCGACAATGAAACTATCAGAATGCGATGGCCTGAATGTCTTTCAGTAGATACAGTTCCAGCGCCTGCGGAAGTGACTCGATCTTCACCATGTGCTCACCCGTGCCTGTTCTGTTCCGTTCTGTCACGGGCTCGCGCAAGCGAAGCGTTGCTAAGCTGCGGGGTCAGGCGGGGTACAGATGGCTGCTAGGTGAAACGTGAAGAGCTGGTACAACTTCAGATATATCAGAAATCCAAGTTTCGTCCGGGAGTCGTACCACACTGATTCCAGGCCATCTAACTATATATCATCATTTTACTGATCCACTGGGTGTCTCCGGGCAGGCAAACAACACCGTTCACGGGCGCACCCAACCGCTCAAGAAGCCGACGTCTCAAAACGACACAGCTGGGTGGAGCCGTCCAACCCATGTACTTTGTGTGGGATTGTTTGGGGAGTTGCTCACATGGTGTGGTCAGACTGTGCAGACTGTGATGTGTAGATGTGGTGTCTTCGTCTGCGGCGGTCCGATGAAGCGTCGCTAACGGCTATCTGATGGTGGTGTCGCCGGGTGTGTCACCAGCGCTGGAGGCAGGCCAGCTGGCGTCGGCCGATCGACTCCAGCGCGCCCTCATGGTCGACTACCCGGCCGAGTGTGGCGCCTGGATGCCCGGCGTCCGGCAGCTGATCATGCTGCTGCGCCCCACACCGGAGCCGGCGGTCGACGCCGACCAGAACCGCAGCTGATCATGCTGCTGCACCCCACACCGGAGCCGGCGGTCGACGCCGACCAGAACCACAGCTGATCATGCTGCTGCGCCCCACACCGGAGCCGGCGGTCGACGCCGACCAGAACCACAGCTGATCATGCTGCTGCGCCCCACACCGGACCCGGCGGTCGACGCCGACCAGAGCCACAGCTGATCATGCTGCTGCGCCCCACACCGGAGCCGGCGGTCGACGCCGACCAGAACCGCAGCTGATCATGCTGCTGCGCCCCACACCGGAACCGGCGGTCGACGCCGACCAGAACCACAGCTGATCATGCTGCTGCACCCCATAACGGAGCTGGTGGCCGGCGCCGACCGCGATCACAGCTGGTTGTGGTGCTGCGCCACTTACCGGAGCTGGCAGCCGGCGCCGACCGCGATCACAGCTGGTTGTGGTGCTGCGCCACTTACCGGAGCTGGCGGCCGGCGCCGACCAGGACCACCGCTGGTCGTGGTGCTGCGCCACTTACCGGAGCTGGCGGCCGGCGCCGACCAGGACCACCGCTGGTCGTGGTGCTGCGCCACTTACCGGAGCTGGCGGCCGGCGCCGACCAGGACCATCGCTGGTCGTGGTGCTGCGCCACTTACCGGAGCCGGCGGCTGGCGCCAACTGGGACCGCAGCTGATCGGCACTTCTTCCACGGCCAGATCTGTCAGGGTATCGTGCCCCTTTGCACCATGCCTGTTCGTCGGAGTAGCATCAACTTCGCCGATTACTTCGTCTCGCATTCCAGGCATCCACGGACGCACTCTGGTAAAGTGATTCCACGTTTGCGTCTGCCCTTTCACTCCACGTTTGGTACTGATTTGCTGCGATGTTTCCTTCATCCCGTTGTATTTAAGTTAGGAGTTTTGAGCACGAGTCGACGGCTGTGGTTTTGGTCCGTATCTCACCGCGCTAGTTCAGCCCCGAAATGTCACCAGCGTCCACACGACACCGGACATGGCGACTGCGGCCAATCATCGTGCAGTGCCGTCGCTAGGCTCTGCGTCTTAATGCCGTCTTTTTAATAGTATGTGTATGGACCACGCGGGCTTATTGTATGCATTTTACGGGTGAAGGGGTGCCACCTCCGCTAGGTGGCGCACCCAGCCCATAATGGGAAGCGACCCAGAACACGGTGGCGGAGTGGCCACGCACGGATTGGCCCGGCACGCGTTACCATATGGTTTATGTTTTTGTTGACCTGGGTGTAGGAATAGCCGAATTAAGGTAATGAAATATAGCCGCTCTGGTGATGTTGGTGGCAGCCTAAGATGGCAGTGTGGTGGGTGCTATGTATTTTATTCGCGACAATATCTGACGTTGGCCTAAACTCCGGTATTTTATGAACTGTTGTACGTGAAAAACTAATGAATACACCCTTCCAAAGACTGCACCTGGGCGTAGTTTTCAGGGGCAGGGAAAGTACGTCACTCACGATCTGCTCTACAAGGCAGGCGCGGGCCAGCACAACATGGCTCCCGGCGGTCTTCCGAAGAAAGCAGACAACCCACAGGCGCATTACACGACAGTTTGATTATTCATGACAACCTTACGACACGAGTACACGGCCGGCAGACGGGCGCGCTGGCGGCGGACACGGCGCGGCCTTTGTACTGCACTGAGTCGGTCGGGCGGACGACGGAGCGCCAGACTTCCCCCGCCGTACGGCCGGCATTGGCAAGCTCTAGCTACGCAGAACACTGGGCATGCACCGCCGGAAGATCGAGTGGCGCGTGGATATGCGGAGCGCCGTACGCAGAATGCACGCGCAAAGAATGGACCTCTGTAAAGATACATGGGAAACGAGGCTCATCGCTTCACGAACACGACGCCTTAGCATCCCCCGGGTTCCGCTTCGTAACTCGCGAGCATCTGGGATGGAGGTGAAGTAACCGCCACGTTCCGGGAGTAACTTCCGAAACGCGCTAAGCATGTCCACCGCCCTTGCAGTATCTCGAAAGCTAACTGATGTATCACATGCAATCGCAAATGCTGGTCAGATCAACTAATCCTGGCGTCATCAGTGAATGCTGACACGGAGATTTCTGCCTGTGCACGGACAACCTGCAAGTTCCTTTCTCGTTTTGGGCGCTTCCGACCTCATCCACCGATTGGTGCGACTGTCTACGGGACGGGTTAACACACTACACGATGTCGCACCAGATCACCATCCAATGTCACGCGAGGTCCCGCGGGTTACCCCTCCCCAGCTGGCCGATAGTGGTGGAATACCCCAAGCGGTGCCGGGTTAGTACATGAGAGAACGCGAGTGCCGCGGATTGCTCCGAGTGTCGAAACAGACACGATCCTCCCACGGCAGGGGGCCGAGCCCGCTGGGACACACGAGCGGGAAAGAGCCGCACGCACACGCGCCGACTGGGCCGCAGTCTCGTCGCCGGCGCCCCGCACGCCCCTCCGCAGCTGGTCCGTGGCCCCGGCCGCATCAGAGACGGCGACCGGCGAGATCCGTTTCAAGCTGCGCCCCCTTCCCCCCCCCCCCCCCTCCAGTGCCTGCCAGGTGACAGGAGATCCGCGAGGGCACCGGCTGATCGGGCGTCACGCGAGCCAAACGTCGGCTGTAATATCACGTCGGCTGCACTCCGCGGCTTACAGCATCCACTCGTTATGGCAACGGCAGCCCCCATCACTAACGGGAAAAGTGTCGGACTAGGAATATACAAGGCTACGCTGACGGCAGAGTATTGTGATACAGTAGCCAACAGCAACTACACTAGTTCCATAACTGGACAATATGCGCCCAACCGAACCGTTTACAATGGCTGCCGCTAGAAACATAAGCAGTTATTGCCTACAACAGTGTACAAGCCACCGACGCGCCCCGTGAGCAATCGTTCTGAAGAGTTGGCGTTTGCGTCGCTGCACGAGTCCCTTGGACGCGGAAGACAGCCGCAGCACCGCAGCGGCAGCGGGGCGCTCGTGACCAGCAGGACCGACAGGGCACGACCAGGCTGCGGCGCCGGCCGGGAGCGGCGTCGGGCCGCTGCGACACCGTTCACCACCGCTCGCCGTCGGGCTTCGGATCCGGATCCGCACCAGGGTCCGGGACCGGGACCGGGACCGGAACCGGAACCGGGACCGGGACAGCGACCGGGACCGGGTCCACAATCGCGCCAGCGCCCGCCACACTGTTGCCATTGATGTCGCCGTTGTTGTTCTCGGAGCCGTAGGTGGGCGCCTGTTCGGCCAGCGTCTCACGCGAGGCGTACGGCGGCGGCGGGCCCGCGTGCTGAGGCGGCGTTGCTGCCGCCTCGGCCGCCGTCCCCGCCGGCGCCGCCCCCGGGCTCGGCCGGTCGGCTGGGCTTCCTCGCACGGCTTCTGAGTAGCTGGGAGGGCTGATCAGTGGCATCACCTGCGGCACGAAACCAAACGCCTCAGGCCACTGCTCCGATAACTGAGCCGACCTAAAAGAACTGCATTTCAGTGTTATTCTTTTGGGTTTTCAGGCACGCGCAAATGCTTACCCCAGAAAGGCTGCACCTTCTCTACAGGCCGTCGCGCTGTGGTCATTTCAACGTGAATCCAGAGAGAATTGCAGCAGGGCTATCCCAAACCAGTCAGACTGCGTATCAGGACAACACACATCAAGCAAACATTCAATCCGTAGCCACTACAGGCATACTGACGCGCGCTTCACGGGCTTCTCCCGCCACCTGACCTGGACGCCGTTGTTGATGTTGTATGTGACCATCATGTGGCCGGGCACGGCGCCGCAGTAGGCCGGGAAGTGACCGCCGCCCATGATCAGGTGGTCCAAGTCGGCCAGCGGCGGGTGCGCGGCGGCGGCGCGCGCGGCGCGCATGTGCGAGTACGACGAGAGCCGCGCCGACTGGCGCAGGTGCACCCGGCAGAAGGCCACGATCATGATGGACACGATGAGGATGAAGGCGACGGCACAGCCTGCGGGGACGGCGGACAGTCAGCGGAGTCGCCGCCGGGGCAGCCGCTGGCCGCTGGCCGCCCCCGGCCCGCGGCAATATTTAACTATTTTTAAAACTATTTTTAATTATTTGTTATTTAATAACGGCAATATTTGCCAAAATTCTAGCACGATTGGAAACGGCTTTCGCACCATCCTATCACCAAAGACTTTTTTCCAAGCGTGCCATCATATGCGCGACACATATTGAGATAAAACAATTCAGACAGTAATCGCACGTAAATGATCCAACCACGGAAAACAGACAAAGCAGACACACTGGGATCTGCGCCCACCTGTTCCAGGAGAACAGAGCCTTACCATGTGGCACCCCGCCGTACAAATGCGACACGATTGGAAATGGAAGGTCACTCGGATGACAGCACATTTTGAACAGTGCAGGTAATACGAAACATCCGTGTCGTTTAAGACCATCAGAGCCTCGGGAGTTAGAAGAGCACATCCCATGCCTGTCTGTCGATCAAGCCAGCCACCTATCGGTGACACGGACAACTTATACAGGCGCACGCGGCCGCGGTCGACGCTGAGCAGCGCCCCCCCCCCCCCCCCCCCCCAGGTGGACACCGACGTCGGCCTACCTATGATCGTGTAGATGGCTGTTTCTAAGTAGGTTCGGTCGTAGACTCCTTTGTCATGTTCAAACGGTCTATACTCTGCCAAAACACATGGTCCCATGTTAGCGGAATTCTGCCCGTCAGTGGCCGACTGGTTTGTAAAAACGACACCCTGCGCTTAGTACATCATGATCATACAATACCAGAGAACCCAATATAAGCCTGGGAAAGCCACGTGACGCACCAGACCCCAACAGGTCTAAGAAAAACTTTGCATTTGGTCGCACTTGTATTACATTTTTCAAGATTTAGTCTGAATCTTTAGAATAAATAAACTTATGAGATCCGAGTGAACGCTATCAGCTCTCGTTGCGTGAGACCTGGCCTCATCATCCGATCGTGAAATTCCAAACCAATGGCAGACAAGTAACCCAACTTACTCCTCCCACTTTCCGCCCCCCCCCCCCTCCCCTTCGTCCCCACGTACGATTGGAGGAAGTGAAGTCCTTGTAGTGTTTGCAGCACGGCTCATTGTCGTTTATGTAGTGCCCGGTGGAACAGTTGCCCTGGAAGCAGCAGTAGTGTCGCGGCCGGCAGCGCCCGGCACACTTGAGCAGCTCGCCGGCGCTCGGCCGCACCGTGTCGTCACAGGTCACGTGCTCTGTCGGGTCAGCGGCGGCCGGTGGGTCAGGGTCGCCGCCCGCGGCCGCTGGTCGACCACCAGGTCAGCACCGCTCGGTCGGAGCGGCGGCGGCAGCAGCCCTTCGGCCAGCTGTCCCGGGGAGCTGGGACCGGAGCACAATACTGACGGACGGGACCACGGCGAGACCAGCAGCCGTCACTGGGCCCGACCAACAGCCGTGCACGTGCCGCCCGACACATCACAGACCGATCAGGGATCAATATGCAAATGGCACGCACACAAGCACATTGTGTGCGTGGATAAAAAACCTCTTCCACAGCGAAGTTTGGCCAAGCGTGCTTTGGTCTAGGGAGAAGCAGACAACAAGTTCTGGGACGAAAAAGCGAACGCAGTACTCCAACCTCTCCATGAATTGAGCAGCGCATGTACGCGCGGCACCACAGACTCGCCCACTGTCCTATCCAGGGACATCCATGCCTCCACTGGCGAACGCATCTGCACAAACCCTGACACGGCACCATCACTCACTTCCACACGTCTCCAGCACCTCGTCCAGGCCGTCTCCACAGTCCGGCATACCGTCGCAGACGAAAATCTTCGATATGCAGTTACCCTCTTGGCGGCATAGAAACTGACCCTCCGGGCAGCCGTCAGAGGTCACTGGAATTGACGCGCACCTCTGTCAGACACTACGCTCCACGCGCAGCGCGGGTCGGGGATGAGGCGCGCAGCAGCAAGCCGAGACATTTCATCGCAGATCGATCGGGGAGCAACACCCTTCTTTCAGATCTTCCCGTGAATTGGTATGCCAGGTTATCTGACGCTCTGAGTCGACCTGTGCCATCTCCAACTCAATTCCACCCACGGCTGCGAGCTTTTCCACCCAGGATCTTGGGAAGGTCATGACAGAGTTGCTTGCCCTAAATCCTGTGTATATCTTAAAATAAGCATGCACATTGGCATAAGACTAGATTAGTAGAAGCGCAGGCATGCCAAGCTGCACATTGCTTACACCATGCAAGTGTTGCATGGCCTTCAGAAGGGCTGTTCGACATGTGTATGTGGTTTGGACACTAAAGTAGCCATTTTCAAGGTCACTGCCTACAGCTTACGGTTATCCCCCTCGTAGGACTTCAAGCACCCTCGTCTACGAGCTGGGCGCACGCAAACTTGTGCAGAATATTTCTCGCCGCCTAACTGTAAGTCATCGGAAATGCATGACAAAGTCACACGAATTCCGTCTGCACAAAGGCCAGATTGTGTTCAAGGTCACGAAGTATGACCATTGACTTATTCGTGTCTAGAATACGTCAACACAAATTGTGACATCAAATTGACTTTTTTTCATTTAGCATTTACGCGACAAATGCAAGGTTCAAACGCAGATCACGTTTTGTGATACATGTATTAGGAATTCGGGCAGTACTACCTGTTACGACGGAAATGAGGCCGGAAATCGAATAATTCGCGAATGGTGCCGCAGTCCAGAATGCAAGCCAAAACACGCACACATGACATTCAGTAAAGAGCAAACGCATCGGTTATTAAGCCACCGTGCGGCAATTTGAAGAACTTTTAGATCGTTTCAAAAATTATTAGCACCCGTCCAATGAGCAATTGACATATCCTGGATCATTTTACTACATTAGCCATAGAGGAATGACGTTTTAGCAAGACTTGCACGGCAGCATCTGCCTGTACGTGAGTAATTCAGAGCTTCTTTTCTTCTTCTGAACTGTTTTGATGCAATTCATTCACTGACCGAACTGCTGGCCGATCAGGGTCAGTAATAACAAACAAGGTAAGGTCATCAGCAGAGGTCATGCGACATCAATACATGCATGATCACCCAAAATAATTTGTGACGGCCATTCGTGATCAATAACTTCATACGACTGGCATTTCCCAGACCAGCGACTGCTATATATCACGGGAACCGAAATGGCAGAGAAATCCTAACCACGGAGGTGATCAGGCATGACTTTTGTCTGACTTTGACTCTTGGCTTTGGTTCACATCTTGATGTGATTCTGAAGCGCAATGACACGATGCAAGGTATTTTTGCGCGACCTATGATGTCATCACTATCAACACCCCGACGGGTGTTAACTTGACGACTCTTGGCTTAGAGTGAGAGTTATTGAACACTCCTCACATTTCTGTTCTAGCTGTTCGACCCTAAGATGCCGATACCATCCCCTCCCCGTGCCAAGACGGCCGCCGTCGGCGAAGTGCCCGCGCGGTGCCGGGTCGCGAGGCGAGCAGGCAGCCAGACACAGCATGTACACATGTGAATCTACCCGCCAGATGTTCCACTGGCCACGCGAACGAGTAGACTGTTCAAGGAGGCGCCTCCGACAGAGGCCACCTCAGCGACCAGACAATCAGTCAGGGGCAGCGCAGTAAGGAGGCGCCTCCGACAGAGGCCACCTCAGCGACCAGACAATCAGTCAGGGGCAGCGCAGTAAGGAGGCGCCTCAGACAGAGGCCACCTCAGCGACCAGACAATCAGTCAGGGGCAGCGCAGTAAGGAGACGCCTCCGACAGAGGCCACCTCAGCGACCAGGCAATCAGTCAGGGGCAGCGAAATATCGATGCCAGAGGTGGCCGCGGTCCGGCCGCGGCCAAGCCGCGTCCCAGCCGCGTCCCGACCGCTCACCTCGCCGCACGTGCAGGTGGAACGACTTGAGCAGGATCGGCTCGTCAGCCACCTGGGCCTCACATGAGAAGTTGCCGCTGTCCAGGCTCTTCAGGTTTGTCACGGACAGCCGCACCCTGTTGGCCAGCCGCTCCTCCACGATGCGGTCCTTGCTGCAAGGGAACGACCAGGACCTGTCACAGCGCCCGTCCCGCTGACGCAGCGCCGCAAACCAATACGGAAACAAACGTCGCGCTGTGCAAATAGGCGCCCACGCCAACCCACGCACACAGGAACCAACTGAATGCATCATGAGTGGTGGAGCAACGACAGCGGAGACCAGGCAAGCTGCACGTGTCCGTCGCGCGAGGGCGCGGTGCGCGGCTCACCTGTGCTTGGCAGGCGACGGAATGTACCAGACGATCTTGGGCGCCAGGCGGCGCGGCTGCGCCGGCCCACTCTGGTTCAGCAGGCAGGTCAGCACCAGGTCGGAGCCCAGGTCACGCACGATGTACTTACCATTGACCTGCATGTGCTGCTCGTCGAGGATGCGCAGCTCGGGCAGCGCCGCGCTGGCCGACTGCGCAGCGTCGGCCAGCTCGTCTGCGGCTGCGGACGGTGCTGCCGTGAGGGCGCTGACGACACACCGCGCCGCCGGGCGCGTGCCGCCACCAGCCGGCGGCACCGGCCTCAGCAGCAGCATCACGGCAAACCAGCGAAAAACCGTAAGATCACTGTCGTTTCTTTTTCGGAACTGAACCATCGTCAAGGCACTTTTGGCAAAATAAAACCACAGCAGCCTTGAACCACAATCAAGTACTTCGCCCAAGACCTACATCTTCATTACCATTGTGATGTCCATGTAAGTGACAACATGAAATAAAATCAGAAACATATTTTTAAGGGAGCCAGATAACATAATTTAGACATATTTACGACCTAGCTGCATCACATGCGTTTCTGGATGTTCGCATTTCGATGCATCAGTCTTATGCACCGTTACGTCACCCAGGCTGTGTGAGCCATCTGAAGCAAGTCCACCTGATCAGAGGCGTGATACGATTTACACTTCACCAGTCCTGCCCGCCTGCCATCCGTTGTACTTGTCACTGTATGCAACGACGCCACCAAAAGCAGGGGTAGCGCTTCACAGGTCGGGCGGAAGTACCGACCTATGTGGCTAGAGTGACAACCACCAAGCAGCTGCTGGCCACATACCTCGGGAGAGTGAGGCAGCACTCAGTGCCAGAGGGCTGCAGCTGGCATCAATGTATCACAGCATGCAGGAGGAGGGGGAGTAAGGTCAGGGTTAATAGCGAGAAGCAGCTCACCTGCATGGCAGAGCGCGACGGCCAGAGTGAGCAGCAGCAGGCCCCCACGGCGGTGGGTCGAGGGATGGGCCATGCCGACCCCTCACACATCAGCAGTCACACCAACAGCAGCATGGTTGTCCAGCTACAGTCCTCAGTCTGCAGGCCCAGCAGCAAATGCATGATGGCAGCAACAGCATGTAAGCTGCCTGAATCAGCATGAAACCTGTACCTGGATGGTGTACAGATATAAGGCATTTCACATTAATAGTTGATGTCAGACTTGTCCTTGTGCTGCTTGCCCACACTTAATGTCCATTCAGGTTCATACATCACCCAGGTCTTTTCATTGTAGGCTGCGAGCATTCAGTACATGAATGCATGCACACATCACTGCCAGATTTTTGGCAAGTAGAAAGGAGGCAAACCAGTTGCAGGCTTTAAAGGACACCATTCAGCCCCTCATGTTAATGCACAGAAAGGGTATCACATAGTACACAATGCAGGAAACATTGTGCATCAATCGTGTTCCTGGCTGATTACGCTTTCCGGTCAGTCATCAAACCGACAAAGAACTTGCTGTGACAATGAAGGGATGGGGATGCACAGTGGTGCAGCCAGAGGGCCAAGCATGTCACTTTCTGCAAAGGTGTAAAACATGAAACAAAAACAATAATAGCTTGATGTTAACTCTATTCATCATTTTGCTCAAAACTACCCTATGCTATTCACAACTGCATAAATTACAAAAGAAGTCAGTTGACATGGCAACAGGCAGGATCATTCTGAAACCATCATTCTCTTCATTTATGTGTGGTAAGTCGACAAATCTAGAATTGTGAGTGTTATTACCAGGCCAATGCCAGGTGAGCATGATGATTGCTGGGTTAGGTTACATAACAGATTGTGTTAGCTTAAGGAAACATAGTCCCAGGACAATGGGCTACAAGGAGTGGACTGGATTAAGTGGACTATTTTGTTCCACACAACTATGAAGTTAATTTTTTGATCTATTGGTAACAATCTGCAGCCACAGTAAACATAATCATGAGCTCAATAATGACACAATTTGTTATGGCTAATGATATACATCCACCTTGACTGGCATTTGCAGTTTATCTCCTTTTTAATGGTGGTAGTAATCATAGTTATGAATTGTTTGACATTTTATTGTTGTTACATCATTGAAACAATTTTTGTGTGCCCTTGTGAGCAAAGCGTCAGCCCAGAAGACCTACTCCCAGAAGATTTACTCCTGGAGCTTGGCAGACCTGAGCTCAGAAGACCACTTTGGTAACCTTGCATCTGTTTGCATCTCTGAGATATGATGTCAGTGTTAGACTGAACATTTCTTTCAAAAGGCTATTATGGTACAACTGTCAAATGAGACACAAACACCACCATCCTGACCAATGTAAATGTAAGCATGTTTTTTGCAACCAGCATACCTATTGATGCCTACACAGATTGGGTAAACTCATGGGTGCAAATACAGAATGCATACAACACTGAGTCAGGTTTGAATGCTGGGAGCAGAGGGTGGTACAGGGGTGACTGGTAACTGATGGCAGAAAATAATGGTCCCCGGCATGTGGGGAAATTGGAGATCCATGCTTGTTGAAAGAGAAAGTGACATGTCTTGCACTGGTACATAGCATGAGCAGTACCTCTTCAATGGCATAAGCCATCAAGTGTAGATATTTTAGGAGTATGACTTCCAAGCATGGACATTAAGAGGATAGGTCTTCAGGGCAGAGGTTCTCTGAGCTAGAAGACCTACTCCCTTGCAAAAGTGGGTCTTCTGAGTTCAGGCCTGACAAACACAGACATTCATAGCAGTAACATTCTGACCCCTTCATCACAATACTATACAAATTATATTCACCCTTCATCACAATACTGATACTGTTTGTGCACTTGGCTCAGAAAGTGCCACCACTATATGTATTCTTTCATGTGTGGCTGGCATTAAATGGCTCATATCAGTATTTACCAACCTGCATTTAACATGAAAGTCTGTTTTGAGATTTTCCATGCACAGGGGAGACTGATGCATGTGTGTGAGTGGTGGCATGCCAGGTGGTTCAGACAAATATTGTTGTTTTGCTGCTGTTACACCACACTTTGTGCACAGTTATGCATGAAATGATAATGAATAATAAGTTCAACATGAGGGAGGGAGTGTAACAATATGACAGGTTATACATGTGGTTGTGGGATTATCTGTCATCTTAACCTGATCTTCTGTTGTGATAAAGGCCATGTTTGGCTTGTGTGCTTGTGCCCTAAATAGTAAAAAATAAATGATGCTAGAGATAAGCAGTTTTCTCTTCTTGCCTTTAGGATTAAAGTATTATGGGTGCCTGCAGCCCTGTCTGCCAAAAATCAAAGCAATGCCCAGACACCCAAGAGACATCAGTCACTGAACCTGGCACTTGTTCGTGCTGAACTCAGGTCAGCCTGAAGTCCCATGAATTTTTTGTCATTTTGGCATTAAACTGCTTTTTCAGCATTCTGCCTGAAATTACCTTGACAAAACCATAATTCACAACAACATTGGCTCAATATGAGTTGAACTTGGTGGCAACCAGACAGCTTTGCACTTAAATTTGAAATATGTATGCACTCAACTTGTCATGTCAATTTTGCTGCTATCCTGGACTGTCTGCATAACATGTATTTTTGCAATGTGGCCTGCAGTTTGTCATCTGCCTTTTATTCCAATCCCAACTCAGCTTGGAAACAAAGGATAAAGTTTCAAAGAAAGATGTAGATCTGATTGATATTGACAACATGATGGATATATGAGCCCAAATGATGGTACAAACTAGATAACAATACAGCACAATAACTGACAATAATATATGAACAACATAAATATATATTGCAGCAATAAAATACTAGCAATTAAGTAGTAGTGTAAGCTATGATGAACACCAAAGGAAGCCAGGTCCTTAGCTGCCTATGTTGCCGCTTGGAAATTATCCATGCAAAAACCATTTCTGCACATGAACATAACAGGAGCTGATTATGGCTCTCACCATCAATTTCACCCTTGGGGAATCCAATCAGGATCTGTCTCACAGGAAAACGCATATGTTGATAGATAAGTGGGATGCGTGCTGCAACAAACCGTTCCCTAACCCTCCTTCCCTCGATGTGCAACCACTACCTTGCTCACAGAGGTACGCAAGTGGCACCCCTCACCAGGCCCGTCTCCTTCGTCAGTCTACCTGGCTTCTGTTTTGAAACCTGCCCCTCCGATGCAATGCATTGATACAGCGGTTCAAGACATGAGCATCAGATGGCTAAAACAAAGGTTTCAAGTATCAGACCCCTTAATGACGTCACTGGCTACAATTTGATAGTGTCCGTTAAAAAGTTGAATGGAAAAGAGTCGAATGAAAAAAGAACTAGACCGCAAGAAGTCAAAAGGGATAAACGTCAAATTGGAAACTTCATTATAAAAGCTTCAAGGACTAAAAGTCGCATGGATTAACATCGGCGGGGTTAAGTCAAAATAGAGACGCCAAAAGACTACAAGTCATAGGAACAAAGCGCGGTAGAAAGCCCCCAAGGTACTACTGAGTGCTCACAATAAATAGAAATTCTGAACTCGTAATACCGAGCGCAAAGGTAGTGACGTGAGCATGGGCGCAGGGGGCACGTGCTCTCTTTGTTTAAGACCTGATTTAAAGGCCGAATGGCCCGAAGAGCTCACCGGAGGTCCGACCCGCGGGACCGGGCTCTCAAATGCTAGTCAGAGGGCTGGCTTTTCAGCTTGGCTTAAGCCTGACTTTTCCAACCAGGGGCAGGGCTGAGGCCCGCGATTTAGATTGGCCAGGGACCCAAGTCAATAAGAAACCTTAATGTGTCAGCCAGGGTACACGGTGTCTAACGGGGGGTTCTGTGTTAGCAAAGGGCTTGAGATGGTCTGGGACAGTTTTCGAGGGGTCCTAAAGGGTCCCTTTCGACCAATGATGAAGGGCGATTAAAAATCCGAAAGACTGAAAAGCTTAAGGGACTGGCCGTAGGTAGGTCACGTTAAGGGTCACGGACCCCGGTCAGTAAATCCGTGATATCAGTCAGAGAGCCTCTTGCACCGAGTGAGGACCCCATGGGACAATGTGGGCGTCTATGCTGGCCAGTCGCCACCGACGCCGAACAGTTTGCTCCGTGTCGGTCCGAACCCTGGCAGGCCATTTTCAAATGAAGATAACGGAGTCCGCGATTTGCATTGGCCGGGATCCCTGAAACAATGCGGGGCCCTGTATCGATCAGGGGCCCACAGTGCCTAACAGGGAGACTGCATTGGCACAAATGACCCAGGATCGGCCAGGGGCCATGTTCAAGAGTGTCATGATGTGTCATGCTATCATGCATGCCACCAATCTTGATGTTTGAGATATATCGCTTAAAGTGTTAGGGTGCTCGGCATACCCCACTTTCCCTAAGTTTCCTTATCCGTTGAGAGACTCCAACTCCCCAAAAGTGGGCCAGATCTGGGGAAATCCTCTTGTTTAGTGTATTCATGGTTAGGTTTTTTCCCGCTCAACCCCAGACCTATGATGCAAAATTACTTCCGTAGGTGGAGACGGATTCTTCACCAGATTACTCCAGCGTCAGGTCAGGGACGCGGCCCATTTCCCAGGCAGGGAAGGCTGGTCGGGCCCGTGATTTACATTGGCCGGACCCCTGAGTCAATGAGGGACCCTTCTGTATCGGTCTGGGAATCACGGTGCCTGACAAGGGTCCAGTATTGGCAAGGGACCGCTGGAGGGCACGGAGAGCTGGCAGTAGATCACGTTAAGGACTCGGCCTGCAGGACCGGACCCTCACGTGTCGGTCAGAGGCACTTCACATTCCACATTCCACATCAGTTGCACTGATGTGGAATACCCTGTAACAATGCGGGCCTCTATATCGGTCAGTGAGCACCAGCACCGAACAGCCAGCTCCGTATCGGTCTGAACCCTGGGGGCCCATTTCCTGAGCAGGAACAAGGTCGGAACCCGCGCTTTGTGTTGGTCGGGACCCCCGAAACAATGTGGGCTCCTGCGTCGATCAGTCCCCTGAGGGTCTAACTAAGGGTCCTACGTAGGCAAGGAGCACTGGGTCGGCCAGGGTAACATTTTGTTGGACAGGGACGGGACCTCGAATGCTAGAAGGGTCCCTCGTGTTGGTTGAGGCCCTCTGACTGCGAAAGTGCACATGTGAGTTTACGATGAGAGGTCAAAAGAAGACAATGACAGGCTCAGTGACACTCAGGGGTCCCGGTTCAAAACGGGGAGCTTTACACCCCGTTTCAGTCAGGGGCCCGTTCTACTGAACTGGAATACCTGCGCCATTATTGAACACCTGCGGCGATAAGGGATCTTTGTGCGCCACTGAGCGCCCCCTGCGTCTTTCCGGGGCCAAATACTCGGTTTAGGGGGTTCTGGCGTCAGGTGAGCAACCAATGTATGACTGATCCCTCTAAGTGCTTCCGTATCGATCTGCGTCATCCGCAGTCATCAATCTGGATTTCCGCCCTAGCCACCAGCATGACGGCAGTCAGGCACCCCGCGCTGTAACAGTATAACTATTTGCTTAAGCCTCCCACCGGGAAATATAATGTGCCTCTAGTGCACTACTCACTCTTACCTAACCGAAAAAAGCCTGCCTTACCCGTAAAAATAAGGGTTTTCCTTATTTTCAACAGGGCGGATCAAAACGGTACCAAAACATGAAAAGGCCAACACAAACGACTATGATTATCCAAATTAAGGTGGAAAAATTACATCGGGAAATTTTTAGCCTGCGTGCTCGCAATCTTAGAAGCGAGAGCATCGTTGGACGGCGTTGCAGTTTCCATCAAACCGAGCGGCGTCTGGTGCTGCAGCTGACATCGGGCGACGAGCGCCTGGTGCGCGAGAACAGCCGTCATGAAATATTACCTTCGAAAGTTTCTAAATCAGTTCGTACCGTCCAACAATAAGGTTTGTGCCTATATTTCACCTCTATGACTTTGAGTATGCTCTCGAAGGGAATGAACAGATACCGCAAAGCAAGTATCGGGCTTATATCTGTACTAGTCTAGTTCAACGGCCGAGTTCCAGCACTTGTCTTGCTGTGCTGCGAATGCTAATGCGTTGTTATCATAAGTCTAATAACTGTCCAGGTGAGACCTAGCGCGGAATGCTTTTTAAACGTACAAACTGGCATGCTCAAGCGTTCAAAGACACTTTTTGAAAACGATATCGTTTTTGTCCGCCCACTGGCCGTCGCCTATTACAAGCGCGCATAGTCAAAAGCGTGGGATGTAATTTATTCACGACTGAATTACGGAAAAAGGTTGTACATTCCTAGAACAAAGATGGGATGGACTCGTCAAAAGAAATCTTTGATCTCATTTCGGTCTACAATATACGTTCACTGTCAATAAGTTCACGATGTCTCTATACAACGCAGAAAAATTCCAGCAAACCCCTGAGCATTATCATTTAAAAAGAAGCCACTGAACAACTGCAAAATGAAAAGTGATGGTGGTTTATTACATGCAGTCATTTATGAATTGGCTTCTTCAGTTTGTTGACTGCAAAATACAAACAGAATTGAATCTTTCGGCACCTTCTGGCTTGTCTGGTAAACGAGGTACGCATTAAAATACAACGGAGCAAATTGTAAACCTTTAAACCAAGATGGTAACATCTGGCAATGTTTTGGGTGGGGGTGCTTCGCCAGGAGGGATCCTTTGTCAACCCTGCGTCCCTCGCCCTCACCAGGATTCTGGCTGCGCATCTGCGTGGCTGAGCTCATTGGGCAACGAGCATGGATACATCAGTATAATCGCATATGGCCACGGAAAAGAGAAAGAGCTCAGTGAAGTTAACGTTTTATTCATCGATTCATTCAGCGACGGGTTTCGATTTCTCTGAAAAAGTATCCAGGTGAATTGTGACACGTAAGCATCGAAAATGGCTTTTATTTTGCAATATTATCTGATCAATATATTGTGCAATATATTCGGGGTCAAAAGCTGGGTCAAAGGACAGCGAACTCAATATCACCCTAAAATTACTGATCGATTTTGTAAACTTGAAGGCATCAAAATGTTCATAAGCTCAAAAGCAAGCATCCTTAAAAAAGTTCCGTCCTCTCATGGTCATCCTTCAAGGTCAAATTCATGCTCAAATTACGGGAAACTCGTTATCACCCAAAAATCACCACCCGATTTTGCGCTTCCAAGCCAGCTCTCGAACATATGAATATTTTGACATTTTCAAGTTTGAAATCGGCCGCTAGTGTATGGGTGATATGGAGTTCCCCGTACTCTCAGCCTGAATCTGACCTCGAAGGATGTACTTGAGATTTCAGGACTTTTTCACGGACGCTAGTTGTTTCTGTGCTGAATATTCTGATTATTGCAAGCTTAAAATCAGTCGGTAATTTTTGGGTGATATGGATTCCCCCGTTATTTGAGCCCACCTTTGACTTTGAATGGCGACCTTGAGAGGTCAAGGCTTCTTGACGGACGTCGGTTTTTGTGCAGAATATTCTGATGTTTGAATATTGAAAATCGGCCGGTAATTTTTGAGTGATATCGAGTTCCCCGTCTTTTGACCCAGCTTTTGACCTGAACGGTCACATGATATTGCAAAATAAAGGTCAGCTTCAATGTTCTCGTGCCGTAATTCACGTTGACACCGTTTTTCAGAGAAATCGGAACTCGTCGCCGAATAAATCGCTAAATAAATCGCCAACTTAACGGATATCACGGCATTGACATTGTGGGGCTTTTGCCATACATTCGAACTAAAGCCGGTTAGGGTCGCCACCCCTTTAGAGGCGTAAAGGAATAGTGTCCCCCAGAAACACAACAGACTTGCAAAGCGTGTATAACGAAATGAGCAGGGAATGACATTCTCCACAACAAGGCATCTGCTTTCACTATTCGGGGAAATATTGAGGATCATTTTCGTAGCTGGCGTGTGGAGGAGTGCTTATGTTTTGCTTTACGTTAACTGAAATGCATATGTATATCGATGAAACTGAGGTTTGTCGAGAACCAGCGTGTGAACGAGATATGACAACCGCATATGCTATGAACACTGTATTCTTGTGGATGCATAAATACGCCAAAAATTACTGAAGCAAATAGTGGTAAATTATCCGCAGATCTCACTTTTGGGTATGCAATATAGAGCTGCAGCTTCACCCTTTCAGCTCCATAAAACAGGCACGTTTAGGGTGGAGCGGGGCAACGTAACCTTCCAGCTAATGCACCCCCTGTCCTGTATATTGACTATACTTCCTGATGTT